TACCAAAGGTGTCAAGGGGTTCACACAGTGATGGGGGACAGGAGAATAGAAAGGGGGACAGCTGGTTCTGCTGAGAGGCAGAAAGACGGGATGGGAGGAGGGGCTGAGCTGGAGGCCAGCAGATGGACCTCTGCAAACAATGGAGGCAGACAGATGCAGCCACAAAGAAGAGTGACACCGACGCACACAACGCACAAAAGCACAGACGTCCGAAACGTGAAGAACTCCTGAAGCTGCAGCTCATCTGAAGACCACCAGAACCCCTCAGCCTCTCTGCAAACACACACGATATGGCCTGAAGGCAACACTATTTAGTCTTACCTGGAGACCGGGAAGACCAGGACCACTGAAGAAATAATAGGAGCTCTTTACTTTATTGGAAACTTGATTCTAATTTCCTAAAAATTAGCTGGCATTTAGCAGCTGATTACCAAGAGATTTCCAAAAAAGGCAGACACAGTGTAGGATTAATTACAGGGGAAATGAAGACAGCACTAGTTACCACATGTGAGTAGCTGCTTGTTATATTAGGTTTTCAAAAAAACATGGTCACTGAATACCTGATGAATATGGTGTTAAATTATGGCAGTTTGTACCTTATCTGAAGTCTGCAACATGACAGAAAATACCACATCTGCCCTCTGCACTGCAACCACTGCCTCGCCCATCTAAAACTGGATCCTAAAGAACGTGAAAAATCCACCAGCACCATAATTTCAAACTATTTCCAGAAGAAATTACATGTTTTAATAGTTTTCTATAATTTAATGCATATTGAAACAAGAAAAGTGATGTTTAAAATGAAGATTGTTTCCAGCATGACGCACAATTACCTCTAAGGACTCCTTTACAGACAAAAGACACGATAAAGGAGAATCTGTCTGCGAACCTTTTGTCAACAAACTAACTGCAGTCTAATAAGGTGCATATCTGCTCAGACACTGGAGAACTTCCTGCTGCCACCCAGGGGGCTCCGAGGGGGATAAAAGGAGGGTCCGTCTTTCCCAGCCCCCTCCTCAGAGGTATGGAGGAAACATCCCAACACACCCGTCAGTGCAGAAGTGGTCCACACTCCCTATGAACAATTAACAGACGCACTGAATGTGTGCACAAGCTGGATGGAAACCCATAGTAGCGGGCTGAAACAGCAACACATTCAAAAGTGAAACTACTCACAACCACAACAAGGTTCTTCCACACTGCCTGTGAAAAACATGGCTAACATCACAACATCCTCCTCCTAATAAGGTCAAAGCAGTTCACTTTTAAAAAATGACTGTCTAATTATCCTGTTAACTCCCTCACTGCAGACCAGGTGGTCCTAGACAGGTCTGCATACTGTCCTCAGAGATAGCGTTACTTTAATCAATTGTTAAACCGTGGACGACTTTCTCCATTAATAAATGTTTTGTCTATGAATTGTGATAAAATATTTTAAAGGTCTGCTATAGTTACATCATTCAATTTCAAAAATATTCAGTTTCATCTCACAGGGGACACAGAGAAACTGTGAATCCCCACATGTGAGAACCAGGAACCAAAGAATATTTGATTATTCTTGCTTTAACAAATGGCACTGAGTGATTATTCGTTTATCAGAGTGGCTTCTTATTAGTTTTCTGTCAGCCAACTACTCAAGTAATTGTTGTAGCTCCACTCTGAATGTGTTGCTCCTTCAAATCGTGGCCTGGCTGGAAGCCCCTTGTCACAGTTTATGGAGGAGGTGTGGAGCTCCATCTCTTTTTGCAGCACGTCTCGCTCTCCTCATCTGGCTGCTTCCTCATTCTTCTTGCCTCACCGTGTGTGACGCCTTTTAATATCAGCGTATTTGGTTTGAGACCAGCAGGCAAATATTGACCAAGTGGATGCGAATGAAAAACGCTCCATTTCTGCAGCCCTGGGTCTGAGATGAGTTTTCCTCGCTGGGTGGAGGAGGCTGTGCATCACAGCGGGGCATGCTGGAGGAGGATGGAGGATATTTGGGCGGCAGCATGGGGCTCTGAGAAGCTACAGGGACCTCCCATCAACACAAGCCATTTTCTTTCATTTATTTCCTCTTTCTACACTTGTCACACCAACTGCTGCTGCCATCAACTCAGCTGGTTCTGAACCATCAATTGCTCCTCTACAAGCTTTTACAATCACTCCCTTCTCACTCAAACACAATCCAGCCTCTCTGCAGCATCAGTGCTGAGGCAGAATAATCAAATACAGGCATTTTTTTCTAACCCCAAACACACAACGTGACCCTGACTCCTGCCTAAACTAGTTCCCTCTCTAACTCAATGATTCGCCCCATCCAGCCAATTACCACACCCTTAACAAGTGGCCGACAGCTCGCCATTGAAGCAGCCCTTCCACTCGCTTTTTGTACCATTATTGCTCATCCGCAATCACTTCAAATTAGATCTACAACTCAGTACGAGAAGTCAATATTTAATTTGCTCATAGCTGATGGTGATTCAGTCAGAGACGTGGTGGATCCCTGGCATCATAAAGACTGAGTCCTTCCTATCAAGCACCGAGAGGGATGGGATACACGGGGAGGACACTTAACATGGGGGGGTGGGGAAAAAAAAAAAAACTTGTAGCTTCATTCAAGGCATTCTGTGAAGTCTATATCTAAACTGTCCCTTGGCTTTGACATTTCTTTCATTAAAATCTGGTGTTTTCTACAATGTGAACTAAACCCTGCTGCACTTCAGTGGCCACAGAGACACATCTCACAAGTCGGACCTACATGTTTATACCTATGGATCAATCCAGGGTGGCCCAGTGCATGCTGGGATATGCTCTCACCCTTACCATCAGCTTGAGTGTGCAGACAAGACAAGCGAAGGAGATGAAGGAAGGTCGCCAGAGCTCATTCCATCCTGCAAGTTTGTTTTAGACACCAGGCGGCCTCTGTTAGTGCTGCCAAGCTGTTAAACACTGCAGAACCTCCGTCAACCCTCCAGAGAATCGTTTAACAGCGTCACTCTGTGCCGTATTATGATGTTCAAAGCTGATCTCCCTTTCAGCTGTGTCTAATTATACCTTAGGGAGGTAACAAAGGACAGTGTGCAACACTGTTCTTCATTACTTGGCTGGAGGAAGACCTTGGGAACAAGTCACTTAGTCTTTAGCCACAAAAACTGAGGAGGACTTGTGTTTATCTGCTGTTTTAATCTGAGTGAATGCAGTTTACTTCCACACCAACATCACCAGGGATTTTTGTGTTTCTGTTCCGCAAAAAAAGCACAGAGCTTCTGTGGGTGTCACTGAAGTGACAGTTGTTAGGCTCCCAAGAAGCAGTTTTAATTACCATGCCTGGTTAACAGCAACAGGAACAAAGTGATAAAAACACCTTCTATAACATGCTGCACTGAAAGTGACTGGACGCTGTTCAAGCTGACAGGAGTCCTGCAAAAACCAGCTGAGGGAAACAAATGCAAATGTACTCATTTACGAGGTAAACCTGTAAAACAAATTCAGCCTCAATTACACACGCCAATGCCTTGCAACAATTAGCCACCCATCACAGAGTGCAAAGTTCACTTTAATTAGGTTTTTTTTCCCCAGAGGTCTTGAGCATCACACGGTCTGGAAGTATGTGCAAGGGTCTGCAGAAAGCAAAGCTGCCACAGCGCGAAGAGAAATCAACTTGCCCTCCGTAATGAATTGCAGCTCTGAAATTAAACTGATGTGTAATGAATCTTCCTTCTTTTTGTCTCTGCTCCTCGAAAGCAGCCGAAGAAGACATTTACATTCTTCAGCACTTCCCTGCACTCACAAATGTGTACTGCCACTGTAGAAAAGCACAGAGATGAGCTGTGAACCCACCAAGACAGAGGAAATATCCTGAACCCATAGGAGAAGCAGTGGAGGTTTAGAGGACATTCAGTTTTTGTCCTCTGAGCTCCAGCAGGGGCTCATACACAAACTGACTGAACTTGATACAAACTTTGTTCTTTAAATGACTCAATTTTACCATCAATAGTGTTAAAAACAAAACTGTAGGTGGTAGAGAATATTACTGGTGTTTGATTCAGGCAGATGGGGAATTTTTAACATTTGTTCAAAGCCCTCACAGCAGTGTGTTGTTACTGTTTCTTCAAAATGTCGTTTCAACATATTTAGGGAAGATGAGCAGTAGTAGCCACGTTACTTTGACTTAAGTACTATACAGTGGAACCTTGGATTGCAGTTAACCCGGTTTGTGAGTGTTTTGCAAGACGAGCAAAACAAATTCTGATTCAATATACAAGCGAGGTCTCACAATACGAGTAGTACGTACGCTTTGTGTGACGTACGTCACAACTGAACCGATGGTTCTCTTGCTTCACTCGTATAGTCAATATCTGTACTGCAACAATGGCCCCTCACGCCAGCCATGATTCTTTTCAAAGGTAAAGTGCAGATTAATTTGTTTTATTTGTACTTTATACTGTAGTTTGTATTACTGTAATCATTTTTATATGGATAAGTGGGTGTTGAGCGAATCATCTGAGTTTCCATTATGTCTTATGGGGAAATTTGCTTCGCTATACGAGTGTTTTGGATTACGAGCGCCTTGCCGGAACAAACTATACTCGCAACCCAAGGTTTTACTGTATTTAGTGCAGTTTGAGGTACTTGGGGGCAACAGTGGTGCGGTGGGTAGAGCAGTTATCTCCCAACCGGAAGGTTGAAGGTTTGAATCTCGGTGCCTGCAGTCCACATGTACTTTCGCTATAGCAGGTTTCTGAATGAAGTACTTTTATATTAAGGAATTAATACTACAACTTTCACTACTAAAGATCATCTAACACCTGCAATTTGTTGAGAAGGATCAATAACCTCAAACACAAACACACTCCCTCTGATTTTAGATTATTAAAGGTTCTGTGGTGATGCTAGTGTACTTTTGGTTTGGTTAATGTGGAACTGTACATTTGCTCCATGTGTCCACAAAGTGCTGGTCTGAATATGTGCAAGCGTGTCCAGGTCTAGTGTCATTAGAACCATGCACATCCACCTACCTGCCCATTCTGAAGTTCACTGAGGCCTTTGCACAGCGTCTGATTCTGCAGAAGACAGAGGAAAAAGGATATGTCAGTAAAATCAGCTGTAATCATGTAAAGTAATACTGAACAAATGAGTGACTATGAAAGACTACTACTGTCCCAAATATAGGGCAACAAGTCGACACCGATGTCTGACATACGAACCATGATACGGTAAAAACCAGACACCTTTTCTCTGACAGTTTTCAAAATGTGAGGCATGTCACTATTAATGAATGAAAATGAAAACAATGACAAACTGTTGCCGTAAATACAGTTAACATTTATGTGGTGCTTTATAACTGATATTGGTCAAGTCAGTTTTATTTTATACCAGTCACTTAGCATGGTATTTGCACTCATTTCTCCACCTGTGTTGTTGAGGGTTACTACCAGGGGTTTTATAGGCCCCCCAATGGGGTCAAAGTTCAGGCCTCGGGTGAGAGCTGAAATGTCCTTTTTATTCTGTCTACTTAATGATTTCACAGCGCACAACAAAGCACTCAGGAAACTCTACCACCTCATTAATGTTTGAAACACTGGCAAGTATTTATTACACATTTTAATATGAACAATATCTTTTTCTTGCATAGTATGAATGACACAGTTTGTTTGATTCAAAATAAGGCTGATAGAACAAAATCCACCAGACACAATAAGGACCTGCCCCAGACAGGTTGGTCACTGATCATATCTGCAGCGTCATGTCTGATACCGTTACCATGAAATTCAATATGATTAGTCTAACCATTTGACTATTGAGGCTAAATTTTGTTAAGGGAACGCAAAATAAGCAAGAAAGACTTGTTTCATGGCCAAAAACCTTCTAAAAAGGCAGTGAGCTCTGCAGTCTACATTGTATATGTGTGACCTAGCTTTCATTTGCTGTGTCAGCTTTGCTGAAAATGTAGTGAACTTCAATAAATAAGGATGTCTTCCATGACTTAAGATGTTATGCGTGGCATATGACCACTTTTTATCAGCTGGATGATGTAAATGTCTTACCTGAATGGAATTAAACTGCTTTTGCTCTGGTGTCACAAATTACTGCTTACCATCTTTCATGTATGCAGTGACAACAAAATTCTCTCCTCAGATTTACAGTGATCTCAGAAATGATCCCTGGGACCCAAAAAGTCCAGATTTCCAGCTAAATCTGGTGAGTTCCTGTGCCTCAGCTTTAAAGACTTGAGGGAAATCTTGTACTCTGGAAGTAAATCTGTTGTTTTGAGGCATCTTCCTGCAGCTGATTGTCTTCTTCACACTGCAAACTTTTCCCTCCTTCTTCTGTCGGATCCATGTCACGCTGCAATGCCTCCTCCTGCCCACCCAGCCTGCACTTTAACCAAACACTCACAAACAGCAGTGAAACCTCAGGAGGCAGAAACGCTGTGGAGCTCCCACAACACAGGAAGATCTGTGCCTATTTGTCAACTGTAATCTAACAGATACATGTAGAAACGTCTTGGGACCAGAAAAACTGAGGCTGAGAGGTTGTTTTTTTTTATTTCCTTGGAGCAGGCCAGGTGGTTAGAACAGACTGAGCCAAGTGTGTATACCTATGTGTGTGGACAGTCAGACAGATAAATAGAGGGGGGCTCATTCTGTATGCATTACTTTTCACACTGGAGAAATTTATAAGCAAAGTGCTGATAGTTTCTGAACCACCTGCACTGGGGAGTTGAGCGGCGTTGCGTCACAGAGAGATTACCACTCTGCAAAGTCCAGACCATTTTACAGCGTCTAACAGGTTCCTGCGTCCACTCATTCACTGATACATGCAGATTTTTCAGTGCTGCTGCAGAGGATTTCAAGTTCTCCACACAAATTCACAGTTGTGTAGTGGGGTAGTAACCAAAGTTGACCTCCACTACTACAGCAGCGATACTACAGCACATGGAAGGGAAGGAAGCATCCAGTGCAGCGTTTCAGGATACTGTGATACAAAAACAAGAAAATAATCAAGGATTTAATATTAAAAAGTGTAGTGTCTTCAGTACCGCACAACCACAAGAACCTGTCCAACTTTGTGACAGATGTGAATAATGCAGGTTTCAAACTATTTTTTTAAAAATCTGCTAATGTTTTTTTAAGGAATAAGATCAAGCACCCAGTATGTTCACTGGGCCTGAAGAATGCACAGAGAAAAGAAACCATCACAGCAGCTTCAAAATCTCAACTATGAATTTTTAAACTTTGTGTTTACACGTTCTTAATTGAAAAACTTCCAAACAACTACAAGTACTACTGCTTCTAATTGTGTTACTGCACCTGCAGACTGGACAAGAATACTGTCTGACGCTGTCACTGTACTGTCAGCACACAGCTCTGCTTCAGAAGACATTAAAAGGCCAAAGCCATTCAACATAAAAGTGAGGCATCTTCACGCTGTCCGCTTGTCCTTCACTCACCATCAGCTCACCCGAGAGGGAACAGACTAAATGTGCTGCTGAATGCATCCGAATGACTGTTTTCTCTCACCACATCAACCTCCCCCTTCCCCCTGAATGCAACAAAATGAAAACAAATGGCATTTCCCAACACGTTTACAGCCAGAGCATCTGTTCAAAACGCACACAAACACAGCCAGCTTCTGCTTTCTTGCTAGCATTTGGACAGGGAGGCTTTCTGGGGAGAGCATTAGTGATGTTTGGCTAATGCTGACAGGCTTCATCTCTCAAAACTGCAACCGTGGAGCCTCATGGGAAACGGCGACCACCTGCCCAGCTGCCTCTACTGCCTTCCTCCCAGCACTCTGCTGTGCAATCCACACCCCAGATTCAGCGCCTGCCAAATGTCTGAAAAACTCAGCTTTGCTGCTTTAATCAACATAAGGAAAGTGCCAAGTGGCCAGCAACATTTCAAGACAATTATTGAAAGTCATGGAAAATTTAATGTTATTTCATCATAATACAACAGAATAAATATGGTAAACTTAAACTAGTTTTAGTATAAAACACTGAAACTATTATGAATAACGTTAATATCCTTAAGAGGATTCATAAAAATCTGGACCATTGTTGTTGAGATACAGACAGTGACAAATGAAAGGAAAGACCTGAATAACTGAGCGGTCTCCTCCAGAATGACAGAGCCCCCCGTGTCCACAGGACACCAGGGGTCACTAACTGGTCTGATGAGGATGACCATGATGTGAACCAGACGCTGTGGCCTTCCCAGTCACCAGGTCTCAGCCCAGTTGAACAGCTATGGGAGATGTTGGAGCGACGTGTTAGACAGCGTCTCCACCACCGTCATCAAAACACAACATGAGGGAACGTCTGTTGGAAGAACGGTGTTCATCCCTCCAGGAGGGTTCAGAGACCTGGAAAGTCACGGTGGAGCTAATGTGGTGGCACGTGGTGGCCCAACACCTCACTGGGACTCTCTGTGCTGGGTTGCCCTTTAGTTTGTCACCAGCTGTATGTTGCTCTGGACCAGTATTGGAAATGGGTACGGTGATATGTCACTGTTTTAACAGTGTTGATTGTTTTTGGCCAGAAGCACAGTTTTATGTTTCCTAGCCTCGGACCAGTCACTTACAAGATGAATGTATGACGTCGGCTGTGGTGTTTGAGAAGGCAGTCGTAGGAGACAACTGTCGGGGGGGTAACAGCAGCTGATGGCAGCATGAGGCTGAAACATGCTCTGACATGCCAGTGTTCAATTAGAGGTGTGGCTCACACATATTCACAGCTCCAGCAGGAGGAACAGCCACTTAGTAACACGGAGAATGACTGTTAGAGCCTCATTTAGGATGCCCATGGATACTGTGTCTACATGGTGATTAAAGGAAGCGCTAACCACCAGATGCTCTGACAAGTTTTAGAGAAAAAACATTTTTCTTTACAGCAGTGCAGGATTCTCAGATTGTTGTGATAGCCTACTACCATTATTATTTAGAAGAGGCTTATAAATGGTCACTAATGGCTTTATTAATGGTTAATAAATATTTAGCTAGTGCTTTACAGATTAGCTGCTTTTGGGTTGTCAGATTGTAAAAATAATGGAAAGTGTCCCCATGTATTCACGTCTTGCTTTATTGAACCAAAAGACCAAAACTCAAACATATAAAAAAGTCCTCGAAGCTTGATCCAGCAAGAGTTCAACATTTCTGCTTGAAAAATGACTGAAATGTTCAACTGATTACCAGAATAGCTGGCAATTACTTTTCCATTGATCGAGTGATGGTTACAGTTCTACATATGACTATTGTGATGTTATAATAATGATGATGATAAAAGGAGGCCCAAGACGGGGAACTCCATGTGTTTAACAAGGTGACCTAAGATGCTAATAAATTTACTAATAGCTAATTTAATTTACAGTGTTAATTTTGGCCCATTAATAAGAGCACCTTCTGCAATGCCAGGCTGTGTGGTTTATGTTAGGGCCATGACTTTTTCTGCTTCTACTTACCGTTACATCTGCAGTTATACATGTTATTATTACTACTGAGGTTATTAAACAGTGTAAACAGTTCATTGAACGTGTGTTCCTGATTGACTGCAGGCTATGATCCAGTGCAAGAAGCATCCTGCTCGAGGAAGATTAACACAGCCAATCATATTTTTACACTCTGGCCCAGGAGTCACATTATTTATAAACCATTAATAAAGCTGGAGCTGTGACAATTATTAAACTGATTTGTTAATTGACAAAATTTATCAGCAACTACAGTACTTTGATCTCTGCTTAAAACCAAAATGTAGCTAAAACATTTGCTGGTTTTCACTACAAAACTGACTTGACCGGGCCTGCAGATGCCATGTGGGTGTTTTTATTACAGTCTGAACCACTGCTTCAGCTTCTAGTTTTTAAAACCTGAGCTTTGGATGCAGCTACTGAGGGAGACTGTGGAAACCTGGTCTCTAACAGGTCACTGCAGACAAAGTGATTGAGTTTATAGAGCTGCAGGTGACTCATGGCCTCTCTGTTTACCTCTGGGAGCAGCAGGCGACACAATGTCATTAATTTCTGCTCTGCACCTTCACACAGTTGACAGTGTCCCAATCCATCTC